CCTTACTATTCTGTAAGCATAGAGAAGAACACACTCATTTCTGAGCTTATCACAGGCTAGTATCAATCACAGATCTGTTTTGGTTTTTGTGTTTGCTCCAGATCTATTCTGCATGTGATGTGTGGTTTCTCTTGTGTATTTGAAAATGATTGTTCAACACATTGTCTTGAACCCTTCTCTCTTTCGGGCTCATATTCACAATGTCTATTGGGAAAGAAGTAGAATGCATCCCAAGGTTAATGTGCTTTCTTATAGCTTTTTCAGCGTCAGAACTTTCTAATTATTGTCCTGCCTTCAGGTGTCCTTGCTCTTGCAGGAACAGTGGTGAAAAGGGGAAACAAAGATGGAACATGAGCTTAACCTACTTTATTTGTGGAGACATAACTGAAACTGATTATAGAGTTTTCAGAAAGACTTGTGAAGCTATGTTTTATCTTCTTAAAAAGGGTGTAAGCTAGAAAATAATGTGTGCAATAAATTGTCCAAAAGGTCGCTTATTTGGGGGGATGGTGGGAACAGTGAACATCTGTATGATTTTTAAATTATTATTCAGAAGCATTATCTGGTTTCAATTAACTACGTTGTTGAAATTCCCTACCCCATCCCCAGCCCCCATTAAACACCTGGGTCAGTGAATATTGGTAGTGTGATCCCAGCCAAAGTGTTGAAATTTCAGTGTCTCTGGGCTGCACTCAGACACCACAGTGCCTGCATGCCTGAAGTTAGCATGACATGCTCCATTTAAGATGCATTTGACAAATAAGTTTGTGTAAGCCAGAATGTTACAATCCTTAATCATTTTACCAAAAATAAGTTAGCTATTATGTTTTATAACATATGAAGTGTGATAATAAGAAACTTGTGTTTCCATCTCTTCTGTTATTTTTACTGGAATATTTGACTCATAAGATTTTGAGGACATATGTGTAGTTTAGTAGCTAGCTGGTTTATTTAGTTTTATTTTGGTTCAGCTCTTTGCAATATTTTCATAACTAATTATAGGCTACTTGGTCTTAAATAATTTTAAGAGACTTATTGTATATGTCAGATATATTGCCTGACCTGTATTTTAATATACTAAAAAAAAAATGCCTGTTTAAAAAAAAAAATCTGGTATTTAAAATTATTTGTTTATCTAAACAAATTCCATACATAGAATTGAGATATTCTTCATATATTTTGAAACTAGTACTCAGTATAGGGAATTTAAGGAGAAACTTGAGCAAATAGATAGTTGGAAGACTGTTAAATGGTAGCTATCATGACTTATAATAATAAACATAATTGTTTTTAGAGTTATAGGATCTTAGAACTGAGATAGGCTTTCAGATTTGACCCCATATTTCATTTTATCAATGGAAAGTGAGAGAAAGGTCCCTTGCCGGGATTCAGCCTTGGTTCTGAATCTGGGGTGGGGTATACTGGTATTAGCTGTGAGTATAAAAAGAATCTAAGAAGGTGTCGATGGCTCCTTCAGCCTGTGGATGATAGCAGTCAGCGCATCCTGCAGTGCATACAACTGCTACATTCGTGTGACTCATTGTGTTGGTGCTTCAGGAGTAGGAAACCCCTGAAAGCTCTAGCAATTTCAGGGTTGTATGTTGGGGTGAGGGGAGACTAATACAGAAGGAGGAAAGTAGTAATCTAATCCCCACTATCTAGAATCTTCTTTCTCTTATCATCAACCCTCTATATGTTAAAAAATGTGTCACCTGATTTTGCCAGTAAATCTTTTCCATAAATTTCAGCTCAGTGATTCTGCACTGAGTCTTGGGGTGAACTTCAAGTAATATAACTTTAATTTTCCTCTAATAATTTATATAACCTTTAATGATAACATGTCCTCCTCTTCCAGGGATATCAGATCCTTCATAAACTTAATTTTTTATATTATTTGGCCTTCATGTTTCCTTTGTGTGGTTGGCAAAAATGTCTTCTCTCTGAATGAAATTTCCAGATTACTTATAAAGTCACTCCTTTAAGGACCAGACTATTTTTTCCAACTGGATAAAAATTTGTCTAAAATATATTATTTGCTTATCTGCCTTCTTCAGCAATGCATATTGACTATGGAGGAATTTTTTTGTAGTTATTTAAGGGCAGTGGTAATAACACTATTATTTGCATAGTGTTGTGCCAGAATAAAATGTAATGAAAAGAAATGTGCCTTTGTCCTGAAAT